ATATGTGTGTGTGTGTAGGGAAATTACATCTTACATTTATTATATTCATGTTAATTTCCCCTTTGAGTTATCTCCAGGTTACCATTCCAAAGTCTTTTTCTGTAGAATTTCATTAATCCATCCAAATCATGAAACATTCCTTTTTTCTAGCATCTGTTGATACAAATAGTTTTCCTCTACTTTAGGAATGCAAAGATCCTTGGACAGGGCAGGGGGTCAGTGGGAATCCTACTGCTGCCACCTGGCCCTGGTTTGTCCTCATGGATGAGGTATTAGGACGGAGGCCCTCTGTTGCCCCACCTGTCCTAATTGCCTCCATCCCTGAGGACACACCAGGGCCAGGTGCTGCAGAGGCTGGGCAGCATCGGGGTGACGAGGAAGAGAATGAGAGGCCAGGAGAGAGGAGGGAAAGGAGGAAGAGAAGAATGAGGAGAGACGAGTTGGTGGATTTAATCAGGGAGGAGATGAGATGGCAGAGGGAGGCAGGAAAGGATGGACAGATTATTTCATTTATTGGAGAGGATTGTGGACAGACATTATTATTTTTTTGGTGTTTTTTTTAAACAAGTTGAAGTTCTGTGTTGCTGTTATTAAATTAAATTATTAAATTGTTTATAAAAGTTATTGTTGTCAGTGTGTTCTTAAAGTCTTTTAACCTTTTTACATTATCTGTTTCATCACTTCTTTGTAATTTAAGTAAACTTAGAACAACTTCTCAGTGACATCAGTTTATTTTTAGAGAAGCAAGTATTTAACAACAAACTATTAAACATTTTTAACTATTGACATTAGATTTTAAAATTAACTACTACAACTATTTACAGAAGATATACAGTAAATATTACTAAAGAACATATATATACAATTGTGACTGAGCAGGTGTCCCTGGTGGTGCTGCTGGACTGGATGGGATGCCACACAGATGAGCTTGGAGTCTTCTGACTGTGAGTGGGACATCATCTGGGGGGTGGGGGTTGCCTCTCTCCACTGCTGACCCAATCGATGGCTGCCATGTTACTACAAATGTTCAAGAAGACGCAGAAAATAATGACTTTACTAAAACTGTTTTTATAACCCTTAAATAAGAACAGCTAAAATGTGATTCTACTTGCCATCTAAATGTAACGGTGGTCAGGTAGACCCTCCTCCAGAGCAGACACCTCGGCAGACAGCTGGTCCCTCCATGGAGCAACACTGCCTCCTACACGTTCTCCCCTCCTCATCCTCTGCGGCCGTGATGTCACCAGCTCCCAGGCAGCACATGCCGTTATGACCTGTAGGAAAAAAATATATATATTTACTTTTATTCAGTCATCTATCTTTTTTTCATTATCTTTAATACATAATTTATTAGAAATTAAATTTTACTTCATCTAGATCCACTATTTAACTTATTTTTTCGTTTTTATATTTTGATTTTATATATATATATATATATATATATATATATATATATATATATATATATATATATATATATACACTATATTGCCAAAAGTATTTGCTCACCTGCCTTGACTCACATATGAGCTTAAGTGACATCCCGTTCCTAATCCATAGGGTTCAATATGACGTCGGTCCACCCTTTGCAGCTAGAACAGCTTCAACTCTTCTGGGAAGGCTGTCCACAAGGTTTAGGAGTGTGTTTATGGGAATTTTTGACCATTCTTCCAGAAGCGCATTTGTGAGGTCGCACACTGATGTTGGACGAGAAGGCCTGGCTCTCAGTCTCCGCTCTAATTCATCCCAAAGGTGTTCTATCGGGTTGAGGTCAGGACTCTGTGCAGGCCAGTCAAGTTCATCCACACCAGACTCTGTCATCCATGTCTTTATGGACCTTGCTTTGTGCACTGGTGCACAGTCATGTTGGAAGAGGAAGGGGCCAGCTCCAAACTGTTCCCACAAAGTTGGGAGCATGGAATTGTCCAAAATGTCTTGGTATGCTGAAGCATTCAGAGTTCCTTTCACTGGAACTAAGGGGCCAAGCCCAGCTCCTGAAAAACAACCCCACACCATAATCCCCCCTCCACCAAACTTTACACTTGGCACAATGCAGTCAGACAAGTACCGTTCTCCTGGCAACCGCCAAACCCAGACCCGTCCATCAGATTGCCAGATGGAGAAGCGCGATTCGTCACTCCAGAGAACGCGTCTCCACTGCTCTAGAGTCCAGTGGCGGCGTGCTTTACACCACCGCATCCGACGCTTTGCATTGCACTTGGTGATGTATGGCTTGGATGCAGCTGCTCGCCCATGGAAACCCATTCCATGAAGCTCTCTGCGCACTGTTCTTGAGCTAATCTGAAGGCCACATGAAGTTTGGAGGTCTGTAGTGATTGACTCTGCAGAAAGTTGGCGACCTCTTCGCACTATGCGCGTCAGCATCCGCTGACCCCGCTCCGTCAGTTTTTACGTGGCCTACCACTTCGTGGCTGAGTTGCTGTCGTTCCCAAACACTTCCATTTTCTTATAATACAGCTGACAGTTGACTGTGGAATATTTAGGAGCGAGGAAATTTCACGACTGGATTTGTTGCACAGGTGGCATCCTATCACAGTTCCACGCTGGAATTCACTGAGCTCCTGAGAGCGACCCATTCTTTCACAAATGTTTGTAAAAACAGTCTGCATGCCTAGGTGCTTGAATTTATACACCTGTGGCCATGGAAGTGATTGGAACACCTGATTCCAATAATTTGGATGGGTGAGCAAATACTTTTGGCAATATAGTGTATATATATATATATATAATTGCAAATAAAGTCAGGCAGTAAGGGGATAACAATTTAGACAAAAAAGGATTTATTTCTCAACAGTTTGGCTTCTCAACACAACATTAGTGATAGTGAAAGTAGTGATTTAAGTCAGTTATTTACAGGGTTTGTACACATTTAACTATTCAAATTACTTATTACTTATTATAAACAAATAAATTACAAACTTACAAATAAATATAAAACTTGATATTTAAACCTATTCATCAATCTGCTGACAAGCGTTTATTTAATAACTGGTATATTCTGATCATTAGCAGGCCCCTGTGGGTTAGAATAATAGCAGGTAGATCTTACCTCTCCACTGCGCTCTGCCAGCCTGAGAAAAATCCGTCGCAGGTTTTGCTGCCGCCGAAGCCGTCAAAGCGACTCTCCTCCTCCAATAACAAGTAAATAAAAGAAATAAAAATGTCCATATCTATTTTTTTGTTGTTTCTTTCCGTATTTCTCGAGCTGTCGGATTTTGTTTCGCGCTGTGTTTGGGGTAAACGTGATGACGTCGTGTCGCAACCAGGAAGTGCTCCAAAGGCTAGACCGTCCCATTTACCAACGGCTGAGGATCCTCCGGAGCAGCCTACCAAGTCTGGGTCCTCCGGAGGCTAGGTAGGCTGCGTCCTCGGAAGTACGCAGCCTGCGAATTGAGACGCAGCTTTATTTATAATTGAAGGCGTACTGAACCAGCATGGCTGCCAAAGCATCCTGCAGAGGCATGCTATTCCATCCGGTTTGCATTTACTTTTCAACAATGACCCCTAACACACCTCCAGGCTGTGGAAGGGCTATTTGACCGAGGAGGAGCGTGATAGGATGCTGCCCCAGATGACCTGGCCTCAACAATCACTGGACCTGAACCCAATGGAGATGGTTTGGAGTCAGCTGGACCCCAGAGTGAAGGCTAAAGGGCCAACAGGGTCCAAGCATCTCTGGAAACTCCTTAAAGACTGGCTAAAGCTAAAGGAGGCTACTTTGAAGAACCTGGAATATAAGACATCCAGCTCGACTTGCAGAGCCTTCAGCCGCTCTGCTCCCCAGCTCTGGAACTCACTCTCTCCCCTTATTCAAAGCCAGACTCAAAACCCATCTGTTCCAGCTCGCTTATCTGTGAATACACTGCTCTTTTCCCTATCCATAATTGTTTTTATGTTCCTGTATCTGTATTTTTGTATTTTCATTTATTTTTCAGTATTTTCTGTAAAGTGACCTTGAGTGTCCAGAAAGGTGCTGTTAAATAAAATGTATTATTACATATTTTCAGCTGTTTCACACAGTTTTGTTAAGTATATAATTCCACGTGTTCATTCATGCCTTCAGGGTGAATCTACAATTTTCAGTCATGAAAATAAAGAAAACTCTTTGAATGAGAAGGTGAGTCCAACCTTTTGGTCTGTACTGTACATATATATATATATATATATATATATATACATATACACACATACATATACACACATACATATACACACATACACACACACACATACATATATATATATATATATATATACACACATACATATACACACATACACACACACACATATATATATATATATGTAAAATTCCTACATTTTTTTTATCAATGTAACATGCAAAATATTTCTGACACATGATATATTAATAAATTTAATTACTGGATAGTGTACGTGTTTGTGCGTACATAGATACCTGTATAGTTTTTTTTTTTAATAATCAGATGTAATTACCACAACAATGTATTACATGTTCATCAATTTATCACTTTCGGCATTTCTGTATTATTCTGCTCTAACACATTAATTTTATTGTGATGGATTTGTATTAAATGTTATATTAAATGATTTATTGACTTCATAATGACTATTCAATGTGATTGGCCTATTTTTTATTCTAAGTTAAAGTTAATCTACTGATGCTGTGAAGCAGCCAGTCTGTGTCAAAGTGATAAATTTATATTTATTTTAAGTCTTAAACTGAAAATCATTGTTTGATCCTGTAGCGCACAGATTGTTTACATCGGGACCGGTTTAGCTAGGGAGTACCAATATGGCGGCCGGTGGCTTCACTCCACCGTGTTCTACCAGCAGGCGATCAGCAATCAGTGAATAGAGCTCAGTAGTTCCACCATGTTAGCTGTTCATCATGAAGGACGGACCCAGAACCGTCCGAGTTAAATCAATGGATGAACTTTGACCTCCAGGTTCTTCTGAGAAGCAGAACATCAGGAATAAACCAGACGAGACACGAGGAGTAAAAACAAACCCATTGCTTCTTTATTCGTGGTACAGTAGTCATTCATACGTAGCTGCCTTGAGTTGGTCTTTTTTTTTGTCTGTTTTCAGCGTTTGTTCCGAAGTCTTCCTGGTTTCCCGTCGACGCGTCGGAAGAGTCGTGGACAAAATATAAAAACAAACCGAAACACAAAGAAACATGAAATGCCCTTTTTCACAAAAACAAAAAAAAACATTTGGCCAAAACATGAAGCAGGGCAACGTTGGGTTGATCCAGTGCATCGAGATCCAAACTGATATGTTCGTCCAATCAGACCCCCCCCCCCCGGAAAAATAAACAACTGAAAAACACATAAAAAAAAACATTTATGGCACAACGAGGGCGGAGGAGCCGCCACATTCAGCCCGTCAGCCAGAACCTCCTGGTACCACTGACAAGCAGAACCAATCAGAACCCTGCTTCCCTCTCAGGAATAGATGGACGGGTCCACGCCCCCCCCCTCCAGCAGGCCCGGAAACGCCGGCGGATCAGAACCAGTCCGGTTCAGAATCTTCCCTCCGCTCTCTGCTGGTTCTTTAAACCACAGCTGGACAGGAACCGGATCAGAATTAATGGGTTCTGCTGAAGGTCCGGTACGGCTCACTGTGACCCAGAAGGGAGGGCGACTTCTGGTTCTGGTTCTAACAGCCAGGGATTAGATTCAGAACCTTTTCTATTGGTACCAGCGTCAGGCTCTGTTCTCTAACTGGTTCTGATGAGCGGGTCAGAAAACGGGTCGGTTTCATTTTACAAATCCTGGATCCAATCGGGTCCAAACGTTCTGCTAGAGGTCAGAACCAGGAACCCACCCAGATTATGAAGAACCCGTTCAGAACCAACCAGATGTCGGGAGAAACACTGATCAGAACCAGCTGAGGAGGTGCCAGGGGGGCGTGGCTCCACCAGGTACCGCTCCGACCCAATCTGCCTCATCAGAAGTCATCCCAACCAGAACATAAACCAGTTCTGGGTCTCCTCCAGAACCGACCCACAACTCAGAACCAGGGTGGTCAGAAGCGGACCAGAACCGGTGGGATTGGATCAGACGGGAAGTGCTGCGGCGCCGCCAAATGAATTAAAAAAACAAAACAAAAAAACCTGAGAAACAAGTGGGGGAGGGGGGTTCTGATGAGGCTCAGTTTAAACAGGAAGTAAACGTCCAACCGGACTCATCACAGGTTCTGATCTTACAGCAGCAGGAGCAGAACCTGCTTCCGGGTCTGGTCGGGGGGGGGGGGGTCTGATGAACGGGCCGCCGTGATTGGTCGCAGGAGGGAGGGGGGCGGAGTGTTGGGAGGTCAAAGGTCATTTACAGTAAACTACAGATATATACAAACACCCAGAAATATGTACATGCTCAGGGTTACGATTCACCTTCACCAAGTACCCTCCTCATCCTCATCTTCCTCGCTGGTCTGTAGTGTAACGAGGACGGAGGCGGGGCTTAGAGGCTGAGCACAGCAGCTGTCACATGACCCAGAGGGCTTAGCTGTTCTTCAGCAGCGTTCTGTCGTCAGGAGCAGCGGAGGAGGAGAGAGCAGCGACGGCGGTGGGGGCTGAGGAGGAGGAGGAGGCCGTGTTGGAGGAAGAGGAGGAGGAGGCGGAATGGAAGGGGAAGGAGAGCAGCTGTCCAGACTCGGCGGAGAGGAGGGAGCAGGAGCGCAGGTCTACGGTCTGCAGGGCGGAGCAGCACTGGAGCAGCTGGACGCTCTGCTCCGTCAGCTTCACACAGCCTGCAGAACCAGAACCAACAGAGTCAGACTGAGGAGGAGGAGCAGGAGGAGGAGGAGGAAGAGGAGCAGCGGGTACTGGACCCTCCCTACCTGCCAGGTTGATGTGGGTGAGGCTCTCCCTCAGGGGGGAGACGGTGAGGTTCCGCACCGTCTGGTCCGTGATGTTGACGCAGTGGCTCAGGTCCAGGCGGGTGAGGTGGGGGGTGTGCCGCACCAGGAGGCGGGACGCCGCGTCCGTCAGATCCAGACCGGCCAATCGCAGCTCTGTCATGTTCTGGAAGCGTACCGCTCTGCTCTCGCTGTGAGCTGACGGGCCAATCAGAGCACAGAACACTCAGAGTCCGCTCGGCGGTGCATCGGGTCTGTGGGTGAGGGGGTTTCTCACCTGTCCGGGACTCAGGGGGCGGGGCGAGCAGCTCCCTCAGGTGGGAGTCCTTCAGGTCCTCCACCCTGCTGAGGTCCAGCAGCTTCAGGCAGGGACAGACGGCCTGGCAGAGAGCAGAGACGGACGTCCAGGGACAGCCGGACACGTCCAGCTCCAGCAGACCTGAGGGGGGGGAGGCAGAGAGAGGTGAGACTGGTTGCCATGGAAACAGCAGGCGGTTCCGGTTCTGGTCCCACCTGGCAGGCGGTTGATGAGCCACATCAGCTGCTTCTTGGAGATGTTGGTGTGGCCCAGGTTGAGGGAGACGGGCTGGCGGCGGATGATCCCGCTCAGCATGGGGGGGGTGATGGAGCGCTGGCGGCTCAGGTCGATCTGCGTCCACAGCCTCTTGTCGCAGCACCTGGACGGAGACGAGGGAACAGGCGGTCAGCGGGAGGCGGAGCCGGTCAGACGGCGGCTAACCACGGCGCGGACACTGACCAGCGGCTCCAGGTCCGACAGACCCGCATGCAAACGCACAGCTCCCTCTGGCTCAGGTAGGTGAAGACCCGCAGCCAGGCGTCCCGGGTCATGATGTGGGCGGAGCCGCAGTCCAGCAGCAGGCAGCTGGGCTCCGGGCAGGCGGGAGGGGGCCGCACCAGGTGCCTCTCCATCTGGACGGGCCGGGGCGGCGAGGGCACCGCCGGCGGGCTGCGCTTCATCATCTGAGAGCGCGGGGCGAGACGTGAAGGCTGGCAGGGCGACGCCGCCATGGCCGACATCAGCAGGCCGCTGCTCGCCATGCCCCCCCCGTTGGAGGTGGGGATGGAGGAGGAGGAAGAGGAGACGCTGGTCCTCTGGTTCTGGTTCTTGCTGTTGCGGATTTTGTTGCCGCGGCTGCCTTTGGCCCCGCCCCCTGCGGCGTGTCTATGATTGGTCAGAATGCCGCTGGCGTTCTCCTTCTCCCCGCCCCCCGTCCCGCCTCGGGTCCGCCCGTTCCGGGTCTCTTGCCCGTTGCTGCGCTGCTTGGTGAAGCCGTCGTGCAGAGCGGAGGGGGGGATGAGGTTGGAGGAGAGGGGGGGAGGGCGGGGGGAGGGAGGCGGAGTTCTTTCTGCTCCTCTCAGACGGGGGAGTATCCTCCTCCTCCGTGTCCATCAGACCTGATTTCCGTCCTCGTGAGGAGACGTCTCCTCCTCCGCGCCTGCGTCCTTTGTCCCCGCCCCCTTCATCCTCCCTTTCCTCCTCCCCCCTGCCCCCCTCCCCCTCGGACTCCTCGCTGGCGCTGAAGCCGAGCTCCGCCAGCCGCCGCGCCCTCTCCCGCTCGCTGCGGCTCCGCTCCCTGTCTGCCCGGCTCCCGCCGCTGTTGCCGTAGACGACAGGAGGAGGTGGGGCTGGGGAGGACGACGAAGGCGAAGACCCTCCCCCCTGCTCCCCCCTGAGGGAGTCGTCCGAATCGGACTCGGAGTCTGACTCGGAGCTGGAGGAAGAGGAGGAGGAGGACTCGGGCCGGCGCTCCAGCAGGCACATCCTCTTGAATCGCTCCAGTTTCTCTCTGTGATGAGAGCGCTGGTCTGCATTGGACGCCGCCCCCGCTGCTCCTGCGCCGCCCCCTACAGGCTGGGAGGAGGAGGAACTCTGCTGGCCTCCTGCTGCTCCTCCAGACGTGGGCCCGTTTGACTCCGCCTCCTGTTTGGGTTTCTGATCAAAGAACAGAGATGAGATTCGTTACCGTGGCAACATGAAGGAAGAACCGCACCAAGGTCCACACCCAGAATCTCACCACGTTAAAGCGTAAACCTCCCCCCATCTATCGCCTTCATCTACGGGCCCGACATGATTTGACGGCGCCATCTTTGGGAGGTCGACAGCTCGGCTTAGTGTAATGTGTTCAACAGGAACAGAAGAAACTTTAATCTACTTTAACTTTTTGAATATTAAACTAATTTTTTATTTTTTTAATTCAGTTTTTAATTTTTTGCTGAAAACAAACAAAAGTTTCAGTTTATTTAAATATTCTTAGTGGGATTAAGAGTAATAGAATATTCTGACAGGATGGATGCAGGTTGCAAAGAACAGCCAACCGTGCATTTTTAGCATTTATTTTTTACTATATTTTTTTTGACTGTGACTAACTGGATGTGCTCTCTTCATCCTCTGACATGGGAGCTGGCTCGGAGCTCGTCTGCCTGGCTGTGTGTTTCCTGGACGGGGCCGCCTGTGGAGCTGGTTGACAGTTGCCTTTTGTATCTATGTTTCTTTTTCTATGTCTGCTTCTGTCTCCTTGAACCCCAGTGGGCCTCAGCAGATGGCCGCTCACACTGAGCCTGGTTCTGCTGGAGGTATCTTCCTGTTCAAAGGGAGTTTTTCCTCTCCACTGTCGCTACAAGCATGCTCAGTGTGAGGGATTGCTGAAGAGTCAATGAGTCGATGCAATCAGCTGGTTTTCCTTAGATAGAAAACTTTGAATCAATCTAACTGGATGATCTGGTGAACTGGAAAGTGACCTGAGATGACATGATGGGAATTGGAGCTATAGAAATAAACTGAATAGAATTGATTATACAGAAACATATTTATACAGGTATGTAGAAATTAAATATACTGTAAAAATGTCCACAGCTGTATTTAAATTTGTAAAAACACTGTACATGCAATATTTAATGTTTGTTTTATATTTATTCATATTTTATGTGAATGTTATTTTTACCTATATTTTATCTATTTTCTTTTTTCTTTACAGCACTTTTTTTTAAGCGCTTAATAAAATTGAATTACATATTTTTTATCACTTATTCTCTTACTTTTATAAACTTTTTAAGCTCCACAGTTGTGTGACCACTTTTGCTGCTGTGACGCCACAACGTCCCCACTGTGGGACAATAAAGGGAGTTTCTATTCTATGTAGTGTATATCTGCTGTTTATTTATCAATGTCTCTAAAGCTCTGATTCCTTCAGGAAGTTCTCCCTGATGTCAACAGTCTGTTAATGTAAACCAAAATACGCGGCAGTGCTGACGCATCCAGCCATAATTTCTGTGCCGAGACATTCAATGCGGGGTCTACTGTTATATACAATGGCAGTGTTTGAATCCATTGGCTGCGTCCTCTGAAAGCCAGATTCTGAGGCCGATTACATCATGAGGTCTGGTCCGACTCCTCGTTATGCGGCCGATAAAGGCGTCGTCCTTTTTGCCCGATTTGAAGGACGGGTCCGATGTATCCTTGGATATCCCATGATTCGTTGCGAGTCCAAGCAAGCCAGCTGCTCCGTGCTCGCTATGGAAATTATTTAAATTTTTTTACTGATTAATGCTGATCTCATTAAATCACCACAAATGTATAAATAATGATCGATTATTGATTATTTGATTATTCCTTGCTGACCAGACTTTTTCTTTAAGCTGCACTTCCAATATTCACCACTGTTTGGCGCCAATTTCCTCTTTCCTCTGAGCACGGAGCAGCCGGCTTGCTTTGTTTCGCAATGAATCCTGGGAAATCCGACGCTACGGAGGATACAGCGGACCCATCCTTCAAAACAGGCGAGGAGGAGGCGTTTTTTGGCCGCATAACGAGGAGTCTCCAATCCGAACAGACCTCAGTGCGGCGCTGTGATGTCATCGGCGGATGAATCTGGCCTTTGGACGAGGCAGTCGCTGGATTCTAACTCAGCATAAGATAGTTGGTTCTGGTTGTTATCCAGCTAATGGTTTGCCTCCATTGTTCCCGCCTGCTTCCATGTGATGTAACAGACTGAAGCATTCTGATTGGCTCGCTGTTTCCTGTTACACAGTGAAATGAAAGCATCTCTTTATGTTTATATCTATATTCGGCTGACGTAGTTTACTGGCCCGGTTCTGCTGGGCTCACCACCCGGTCCATAGGCTGAATTCAGCAGGTTAAACCCTGAAGGGGTCAAAGGTCAGGCAGGGGGAGGGGTGTCTCACCTTTTTCAGGCGTTTCTCGTGCGCGCCTTTAATCTGAAGGACAGGAGGAAACGGAAAGCAGTTAGCGTCAGAACAGAACCCAGCAGCTGGAACAGAACCTGCAGAATCAGCCCACCTTCTTCTTCGGACCGCTCTCCAGAGGCTGCTCTTTCTCCTTCTTCCTCTTGTGCCCCCCCTCCCCCCTGGCGGCCTCCTCCAGTGGAGGAGGGGCTTTCTTTTTAGGTGGAGGCTCGTCCGTGAGCTTCCAACGGCCCACCTCCCCGTTATCCAGCCTCCTCTTGCCCGACCCGTCCTGCTGGTCCTGGTTTAAAACAGAACTGGTTCAGATTTTCAGAACTTTCTGGAAGCTAACTGCGAGGGCAGGCTAACCTCGGAGCGTCCCGAACCCTCACCTTACTGGTCTTCCCCTCCTTGTGGCACTTTGGACACTCCCAGCAGTTGGGGATTTCATCGTTGATGATTCCGTCAGCTTTTCCCATCTGAGGAGGAAGAAAACTCAGCGGTGAGCTCTGGATGCGGCTCCTCCGCTTCACTCCAGGTTTATAACTACAGAGACACTGCGGCCCCAACACTGGGGCAAAACCCCAACTTCCTGGGGGGGGCCAAAAACTGTTTCCATGTATGGTTATTCCAACTATTCCTTATTTATGCACATTAATTATGTTTTTGATCAAAATCCTTTGGCTAAAATGCCATCAGAACGCTGATAATATTAAGTGTGTCTCAGCCCCCCCCCTTCAGCGTCCACCATATTGGATCAGTCCATTTGCTGCACATGTTCAGAAAGGTCCAAACAGACAGCAGCAAACCATTTGAAAACAAACCATGCAAAGAGCAGTGTTGCCAACTTAGCGCTTTAGTCGCTATATTTAGCCACTTTTCAGACCCCTCTAGCACTTTGATTTCTAAAAAGCTCCTAGCACCAAATCTAGAGACTTTTTTCTGCTACTGGAGACTTTGGAGACAACATCTAAAAGCAGCGAACTCTGCTCTCCAGAGCAAGTAGATTGGTAACCCCGCCTCCTGCTCTCCTCTATCTTGTCTGCTGTCATGATTCATGCAGCTATTATTTCATCCAAATGAAAAATGGAGAACAGATAAGCAGATCATGGCTTGTCTACAGTGAAAAGAAGGACTGGGTTATTTACTTTGGCCTTTTTGGAAACACAGGAAGGAGCAATCAGCTAAGTGAGCTTAGTGCTTGGAAAAAATCTTTCATTCCTTTAGAGACAGCATGAAAAGTCAGCTGAGTACAAAACATAGAGAGGAAAACAAGAAGAAAAGGGACAAGAAGAGAGGGACACAACCTAGAACAGATAATGGATGTCTATTCTATTAACATTTCTCTATCTGGAGAATGGGGCTATTTGATGTGTTGTCTTCTCCATTCAGAGGGGCCCCTGCCTGTCTTTGCCTAGGGCCCCACATTTCCTAAATCCGGCCCTGCCCGTAAATAAACAGAAATTTTTTTTCATGTGTTTGAGGCCCGGTTCTACCAGAACCTGTCGGTTCTTCACAGAAACTTCAAACCAATTAAACAGAGAAGGAGCCTAAAGTTTGAGGCTGATTCCAGAATCAGGACGTCTGATGAAAATAAACCAGAAACAGAAACATCGTCTCTGTCCTGAAAGATAAAATCGTTTCCCTAAACATTGTTTAAAATGAAAGAAAAACCCAGAATAGAGACTCTGAGAACAAAACGGAAAACTGGAATTAAATTTACAGACGATCAACCATCATCGGTTCTTAGATGATATCGTCTCACTAAATATTTCTGATATTATTAATCACCTTGAAGGGAAAAGGTACAAAAAAAAAAAGATTCATAGCTGAAAGATTCGTCTGAAAGGTTTTAATAAATGTATAAATAAAAGCCAAAAGGCTAATTAGAAAACTTTATTTTAAACACTAATTTTATTAAAAAGATCTAGATCAGATTATTCTATTTTTGCGGATCTCTTCTAAAGTGGTTACCATTTTATATTTCACTTTTTCTTTAATAAATAAGCAAAATTTTCTTCATTTCTGTTTTATTTCTGTCAAGATGGGGGGGCTGAGTGAACATTAATCAGAAATAAAATTAACTTTATTGATTTTAGCAAATGTTTGCAATGAAACCAAGAGTGAAACATTTAAAGGGGGTGAATACTTTCTGTATATAACATTAAAACAAACTAAGGACCCGGAAGAACTGGACCAGTATTGGTTAATCTGACCCCATGGAGCGGCGGGTCAGGGCGGGGGACTCACCTTGAGGCAGCTGGGGTGGATGATCTCGTTACAGATGGTGCACTCCATCAGACAGAGGCTGAACTTCTCCTCCTCCGAGTCCACCGTGTCCTCCTTCCCCGCCTCGCCGCAGGCGAAGCACACGGCGGTGTGAGGCAACACGGGCTGCAGACACACACACAGGCGGGTGAGGTGTGAGCACGCCATGGCGGCAGAAGCAGCTTTTAAATGAAACCCATCATCTGCTGCCTTTAAAGGAATAGTACACCCAAAACATGATTAGCCTTCATTTTCTACTCACCTCCATGCTGAACAACACTCTGGAGTACTTTTTTGATATCTCAAATGCATCTGGAGATCTGGGAGGCTTCTTGCTGTCTGCTGACATTCAAATAATGGAGGTCCATGGCGCCCGAGACAGAAAGGTCCATAAAAGTCCACAAAAAACGTGTCAATATTCCTCCATACTGCTCGTCCAATGTAATCCAAGTGTCCTGAGTGGGTAGCATCCAGAATTTACTCGAAACGAAGTCATTTAGAATGTTTTTAGAGCATAAACAGTAGTGTATAGGATTTCCTAATAGCGCCCCCATGCGCGCTCACGATTCTACGGAAGCCGGCAGACCAAACCGGAAGAAAGTGCGCATTCAGCGTCTGGTCTGCCGATAATGCAAGCGTAGAAGAAGAAATGTGCTGTTTACCTGTGCAAAGAAAGAAACAACGAAAGAAAAATGTCTGAGGACTTCAGTGTTGAGGAAGAGCATGAGTTCTTTGCCGAGCTGAATGCGCTGGTTTGGTCTGCCGGCTTCCGTAGAATCGCGAGCGCGCATGGGGGCGCTATTAGGTAATCCTATACACTACTGTTTATGCTCTAAAAACATTCTAAATGACTTCGTTTCGAGTAAATTCTGGATGCTACCCACTCAGGACACTTGGATTACATTGGACGAGCAGTATGGAGGAATATTGACACGTTTTTGTGGACTTTTATGGACCTTTCTGTCTCGGGCGCCATAGACCTCCATTATTTGAATGTCAGCAGACAGCAAGAAGCCTCCCAGAACTCCAGATGCATTTGAGATATCAAAAAAGTACTCCAGAGTGTTGTTCAGCATGGAGGTGAGTAGAAAATGAAGGCTAATCATGTTTTGGGTGTACTATTCCTTTAAACTTCCTCACATCTCTTTCAATTAAAAAAATAGTTAAATTTCAATCAACATAAACAGTCAGTCATTAATAAACATCACAGAAAAATGAAGTTATCAAAGAATGTAAACCTAATTAGTGGAAGTAAAAATGTCCCAGTGGATCAAAATGTTTCCTGTTGACAAATTAAACTACAGTTATAAATAAATAAATAAATCCTAAACAATATATCAAAGGGTTTAAAATTTGAATACCATTCTAATTTTTTTTTTCATATAGATAATTTTTTTACATAAATGAAAATAAAAAAATATATAAGGAGTAAAAGTTCAGGTTTAAATGATAAAGTTTGTGAATAAACTGGAAAAAATGGGAAACATCAGTGACCAGATTAATGAACTACGACGGAAATAAGGTTTAAAATCATTTTATATTTTTACCAAAAAATAAGATTTACTAATTTATCCGTTATTAGATGAAACATCTGGTTTCCAGATGAGGTTTAATAAAAACTTAAAGGATCAGAAGCGTCCACCTTCAGCGCATCATCGATTACATCATCAATGACGCCTTCCTCCCGCAGGCTGAGGAAGAGGAGGGTCAGAACGGATCAGATCTGGTCAGATCAATGAAGTTCTGGTCTAAAAACACAAACAGGAAGCTCTCCTCCTATTGGCCAGTAGGGGGCGTCCCTGACCCCTCCCCATCAGAACAGAGCGGGCTGCGGCACCTTGCTCTGTGGTAGGAATCCTGCACAGATGGATCAGAGCTAGAGCTCGCTCGCTCGCTCTCACAGCAAGAAACCATCTGCGGTTGCCATGGAAACCCAGCATCTAGCCTGCCGGGCCGGTGCTGCTGCTATTTGGAAGAAGGCAGAAGAGGTGATGTGGTTCTCTGGGTTTGTGAGGACATGGTGGGACAGAACCGGGTCAGAAACGGAGAACCGGGCCGCCGTGTCGATACGGGCCGTACGGCACCATGCGGGCGGGGGACATTTTCTGATGTCTCCGTTTGTTACGAGGAGAGAAATTTGTTCCATTATTATTTGATTAAATCAAAACCGAGGGAATTTTTTATTTATTTTTTAATAACTAATAATTGAGCCGTTAAAATATTTATGCAAATTATCAAGCAAAACTTTCCCAGCTTGTTATTTTATCTGATTTTATTGTTTTTTGACTGTTTTTTTACAGACTGTTATTCTGTGGGCGGCCTGTGAGGACATACAGCTGCTGCGTCTCCGTTCTATTAGTGAAGGCAGACGGAGAAATCAGTCTTCTTAAGAAATAAAACAGGTTTGATTAAAAAACAGGGTTCCTCCAACATAAAGACAGTTAAATTTAAGACTTTTTAATAAAAAGTTAAAACCAACTTTACAATAAACACCAGAAAACCTTGGTAGCCATAAATTTACCCAAATATTTATCTGAACATAAATCCTAACTTTCTGGCCCAGTAGAAAAAACACAAATAACAGATTTATTTAATATTTATTTAGTAGTTTATTATATAAACTACTGAACTCAATTCATTAAATTAGTTTTGTTCCTGGCTCAAAGTCCACAAAATATTATCAATTATTTTAATCTTTGATATGGATCATACCAATAAAATCCTATTTATGACTTGGTTACAATATTATGACCTATGAAAGACTGAATTAAGACATTTTAAAACCAAAAGGGCTTTTTTAAGTCTTATATTGTAGAATTCAATAATTTAAGACTTTTAATGATCAACGGAAACCCTGAAAAAAAACAATATCAGCTGAAGTTTTGCTTTAACATAATGAATTACTGACAAATTAAACCTTTTGGATTTAGAAGTTTTTCATACTTTCTTTTTTTAAACGACTTATTTTATTTTAATGAAAAAGGAACAAAGTTCTCTCCAAATTGGACACCAGTGAGGACATTGGTCCAGACTTCACCCTCTGTTGCTAACGGTTAGCTTTGGGCTAAGCCTGAAGCCGCTGTCACACCTGGACTATTTAGACCAGCGCTTGACTGACGCACGAAAAATCTGGCAAAACTCTGGCGTAGGTTGGATAAGTTCTGAGAACGCCGAAACATCCGTGGTCCATCAGTTCCAGGTCAGTTATCTGATGGTCGACATCCGTTCAGTCTCAGTTCCTCATCAGTCGTGGCGTCTAGCTGATCCTAAACCTCTGAGTAACTTCTGCGTAACTTATCCAGAACTTCTCTCCAACATATCAGCGTATCCGACGTGTTCCAGACGAGCGCTGAACGTGTTTCTAACTTCCAGCTACTGTATAATGGCGTATTGGCAGCGTTTTGGTATAAAGGGGGTTCACAGGAGGAAACCGTCAGTTCTCCTCCAGACTTCATCCCCGTCATAAGGTGAGCCAGAAGGTGAGTGATGGATCCTCCCTGCGTTCACGCCCCATCCAACAACCTTCCTAGCAGACATGACGCTCAATCTACTGGCGGTAAACAGCAGCTAGGTTAATAGCGTGATCAAATAAATCTTTTAATGCAGACCAGGTGCCCCCCCACCCCCCCTCAGGGACAGCGATGCGTCTGAAGGAAGCAGCTTGAACTGATGCTTCTTAATGCCCATTTAACAATGATTGTGCATCATTTCCTGGGCATTACGCTGCTGTGCGTTATGCAGAAGTTAGGCTGTGGTTGGACAGAAGTTCTGGACTCGTTATGAATCCTCTGTATATTCGCCCAGAATAGAAAAATCCATGGAAAGTTTAGGAGATTCTGGGACGTCAGGTGGACGCTGGATAAAGGTGTGACGGGGGGTAATGGTCAGGGTGAAGGTATAGAAACAGCTGAAAATCAACGGTCTGGTCCTCATAACATACAGTAAGACGGTGAGGTGTGTGTGTGTGTGTCTCACCGCTGTGCACTGTCTCTGCAGGCAGGACTGCTTCATCCTCCCCGGCCCTCCAAACTTCTTCATGTCCTTACAGAAGTGACACTCTCCACACTCCGTCCTCATGCAGGCCTGGCAGCGCCGGCACCGGGTCCGCCTGCGCCTCGCCCCGCTGCCAGCCCCCCCGCCCAGCGCCTTACTGCCCGACATCCCCAAACAAGTCAGCTGGAGGGAGAGAGACAGAGAGACAGACAGAGGGAGAGATGAAGCTGGTGGAGAGGGAACGCGGCTCTGCTGCTCCTCAGAGGAAGCCGGCGCAGCTTTAGGACCAGAGATGCTCTGCAGCACCAGAGGCAGGAGATCAGCTCATTCAGCTCAAAGATTTGATCTTTAGAAGCTTTCTGCTGCGTGACGGTAGAACCGGAGGTACTGCTTACAGATGGGACGACCTCAGACACCCGTCTGGTCCAGCCACTGGGAGGAAAGTTCCTCGTTTGGATCTTAAAGGTTTGATTCATTAAAAAGTTGATTTATTTTACTGCTAAACCGAGTTGGTTCTAGTTCAGGATTTTACCGGTTTACCTTACAAAACCTTTTATCCTGCAATAAACAACAGATAGGAACAGGCAGCCGAGCCCGGCTCTGATGTCCCATCCATTTAGAGACTCTAGAGGCGGACGCCCAGCAGAACCGGGTCAGAACAAAGGTGCTGCTGGATCGGTCCACCGCCTCCTGGATACAGAACCCAGGATGAAGGCTCAGTCAGGTTAGGATGAAGGGAATTAAAGAATAGGACTGATGGGTGTAACCTGCAGCATGGGATTATGGTTACCAATATTCTGCCTGATTTCTCATTTCTTTGCATAACTGTCAGATTTTAGTCATTTAAATATTAGCAGCAGTTTAACCTGAAATCGATCCAATCATCCATCAGGTCCGTATTCAGCTCTTGCTAAAGGAGGAACTTTTGGTTTCTACTTTTAAGGCTAGGCTTAAAACTTTCCTTTTTTGATAAAGCTTCTAGTTAGTGGCTCAGGTTATCCTGATCTATCTCTATAGTTCTGCTGCTATAGGCTTAGACGGCTGGAGGACATAGAGCCTCCTTTTTCATCATTCTGCTTCATTCTATCTCTATTCTCCCACTCTGCAGAATCTGTTAGTTCAATCTCTAACGTTCTGCTCTCTCTGCTTTTTCTCATAGTAGCTTCATCTGGTCTGTTCCTGTTTGGCTGTGACTCCATCCTGGAGAGAAATATCAGCTGTGCTGCTGCCATCAACACCTTTGTTTCTAGATGTTGGAGCTTGGCCTGTTTTCCAGTGTAGTCCTGTTTCTCTGACTGTGACTAACTGGATGTGCTCTCTTCATCCTCTGACTGGCTCGGAGCTCGTCTGCCTGGCTGTGTGTTTCCTGGACGGGGCCGCCTGTGGAGCTGGTTGACAGTTGCCTTTTGTATCTATGCTTCTTTTTCTATGTGTGCTTCTGTCTCCTTGAACCCCAGTGGGCCTCAGCAGATGGCCGCTCACACTGAGCCTGGTTCTGCTGGAGGTTTCTTCCTGTTCAAAGGGAGTTTTTCCTCTCCACTGCCGCTACAAGCATGCTTAGTGTGAGGGATTGTATTGAGTCAATGAGTCAATGCAATCAGCTGGTTTTCCTTAGATAGAAAACTTTGAATCAATCTGATTGGATGATCTGTTGTTAAGGTTCTGCTTCTTCAGAAGGGCCGACTGAGGATTGGATTTATTGCACCATATTAATATTAATAACCTTCAGTGTTTTCTTGTGAGTCATTGATAAACATTTAGATTAGTTTGAATTTCTGGAACAATTAAGTGACCAGCATGATAATCAGGAGGAGGGCAAACAAAGTTTTAAGATGGTTATCTGATAATAAACTTTTGCTGTTTTTCTCCAATAGTTTTGGACCCGCCTGTTTTCCTGATACCATGAAGCCAAACTTTCTCTGCTCCAACAGAGGTGGAAACTGAAACCAATAAAATCTTTAATCAATTTCCATAGAGTTCAGTTTTCCAAAGCATCAAATAATAATAATATGTTGTTTGATAATTTTATATTTGAAATCAGAATTGGTTCCTCTTCATTAGCAGGACCAGGTTTATTCTGGAGGAGCCATGTTTGCTCAGATTCAACACGTCTGTGTTTGGAGGCTGCAGCTATTCCGACCCAAACTCCCTGAACCAGAAGGTTCTGGATGCCGTCCAGAACCGCCGACTCACAGATTAAAACATCTACATCATCTGTCCTTCAAAGAATCAACGAAACAAGAACCGCTTTGTTCTAAATGTTTAGCTGAAGCTCCGCATCATGCCACTGCCACCGCCATGAGTTCTGGCTTCTTTCTCAGCTCTGACTGGAGTCTCCACAGCTCATCACGACTCAGAAAGTTTCTGATCTTCAGAACCAACCTCCATGTTTAGAAGCACAGGTGGACTGGGTGGCGTTGCAACCATCACGCTGCATTTCCTGCAACGTTTTTTAGGGGATTCCTGTTGGTCAGAGTGACCCAGTTCATTCAACCGCTGCGTCCTGATGAGCAGAACCACCTACTGATCAGAACCTCACCCTCCTCATCTGAAATCATAGGCACAAATGCTTTTTTTAACAGAACCGACCCAGAAAATATGATGAACATCCAACTGCAGCAACCTGCATGTGTCCTAAAGGAGTTTATGAAGATCCAGCTCCATGTTCAGAGTCTCGGGTCCCTAAACCCAGCCGCCAGTCCACCGGGACCAAGTCCTTTAGGTTTTAGAGCCCTCTCTGGACCAGATGACACCCCCTCCACCTCATCCATCAGAAACCTATTCATCAACACTTATGAAGCCCTCTGAGCAGCAGCAGGAACACCTGGACACCCGGTTCTGGTCCGGCTCACAGAGAACCAATCAGATTAGCTTCTATTTAAAAAAAAAAACATCTCTGAAGTGTTTGGACCTGTGGATCAGAACCAGAACCAGCTTCTATCTGAAAGCACCCCACAAGCTGCAGCAGGTTGTCATCATCAGGGTCTGTTGGAGCCAAATGCTTGATTTATGATTGAATATTTATTTCTAGTTTACTATTTTTGTCTGGTTTTGGTATGATAAATATGAACATGAAATATTTTGGTGCAAAGTATGAGTTGACTAACCTAATTATGAAATTATGAATTTGTTTATTTGTGTTTTGCTGCCGTGCATAATTTACGCTGTTTCTGGCCTCCGCCCCTTCATTATGGACAGGTGACTGCCGCACCTGGATTATAGTGGAGGTGGCTATTGGGCTCTTGGATTCAGTCAGCGCAACCATACAGTTTTTGACCGCTTTTGATTATTGTTGTTTTTTGAGTGGCAAAAAAGGAACGAAATGAGCCGATATGATCTGCCCGTCACGTCATACTGCGGTAAGAAAATCTAAGTTTGTTTTTACTTTGGAAAATAAAGCGTCTTGATCAAGAGGAAAGAGAGTTTGATGGATTGCATGGTCACTTCTGAACCAAGAGACACACGCATCTTTATTAGAAAGATTGCGCTAATAGGCTCTGCTAACGTTCCTAACCATCAGCGGTTGATCCCCACCATAGTGGATCAGGTGGGTAAACACCCGAATGACTTAAATCTCTGACCTGATGTTTCTCCCTGTCCCACTGACTGCGTATAGAGAGGCTCCGACTAGACATGATGAGCAGATCAGAGATTATTTTCATTTCTCTCTGTTCTATAAACACATTAAAACTATTTCCCACGTTTGACTGGAACAGATTATGAAAAAGTTATTAAAAACTCACTGTCTCATTCTATAAAGCAAAGCTCTACTTAAAGAGTCTGTGCAGCATCTAGAACCAGAACAGATAGAGAATGTTCATAATGAAATCTACGTTTAAAGAAAATAAAAACACAGCAATGGCGTGGGACGGTTTCCATGGTGACTGAGGCAGAGAGGTGATTCTCAGAGAGATCTGGGAAGTTTATCACAGTTTTTCTTTCTTTTTTCCATAAAGAGGTGAGAGAGATCCGCTGCGCTGACCTGCTCTGTCTGCTCCTCCTTATTCTGGTTTCTGTGAGGCTCAAAGAGGATCTCTACTTTATCCGTTTCTGTCCTCCTGAACTCCTATCATGGGGAAAGTTTCTATTTTAATGTTTCATTGTTTTTGCTCCAGTCTGTCCTGCTTACTATAAACGCGATGGGCGACTCAAAACTGACTCTTTTCCCGTGAGACTAACAACTGTGATCATCCCTCATTGACGTTCAATGTGCGACTAAACGCCATGACCTCTGAGGCGCGATTTCCTATCGGATCGGACGCTAAATCAGATCGGTTCGGCTCTCCAACACAGCTCAGACACACCGTGCAATGTACTGACATTAGAAAATATTATTTCTTCTCTTGAATACTCAAGTATTTTCAACACTAAGTACTTCAGCACCTTAACTCGAGTATATTCTTCTCTGAGAAGCTTTTACTTATATTTGAGTGAGATTCGACCGTAAGTATCGATACATTTACTAGAGTTCTATACTCGAGTACTTCCTCCACTATGAACCATTCAGAAAATGCTGCTGATAATTACAATAAAACAAAAAAAGATCAATGATCACCTCAAAGCAAACATCCTCCCAACATGATCCAACACTTCTAGGGAAATATTCTGTGTTCTTTTAAATCCAAATTCATCATATCTACAGACAAACACGGTGGTGGCAGTATGAGGGTCTGGGAAGAGTCGACTGATGCTGATGAATCTGCAAACTTTCTGTTTTCTGGAGCCGCTCTTCTAAAGTGAAACTGAAGATTAGAGCTGGATGTAAACTGTCCAATTTGGACATGTCTTCATTCATAAGCAGGACCTTGTCCTGGAAGTGTCTCCATGTGTTTTTCACGTCCTTTCTGTTAATAACTCTTTCAGAAATGTGGCTAACCTGGTTATTGTCACGCTGATTTTCACTCCTCTAACAGAAATCTTACTTCCTGAAGCTTCTGAGGGACGATGTAAAAATTACAGCTGATGTTTTCTTTGTTTCCCCTCAACAGACTTCCTCTGCAAAGATCTTAAAAATGCATAATATTCCCCACATCTGATCCAATAACAGAAGCACTGATCAGCCTGTTAGCTCCATGTTGGTGGACAGAATAAGAAGCTGCTAATGGCTAAAAGCTACCGGTCTGCAGCAGCATCCATTCAGCCACCTGCAGCCGCCAAACGCTCTTTGTTTTATTAATTATACAATTAAACACCTGTACTAACAGAGTCCCTCATCATCTCTCCCACCCCTACAAGAAAACACACCAGCAGCAGGCATGCTAACGTGTTAGCAGGCTATCGGGCTGTTCGCCCCCCTGCGGCTGCTTCCTCCTTCTGTATCCCAGCGCTGAGCAGCGGCAGCGGGGAGCGTTCACCGAGGAGAGCCCCTGGCTCAGCCGGACACACGGAGGCCTCTCACCTCTTCCTGCTAGCTCGCATGCTCCTCGCTGGCTCATTAGAATCGATGTTAGCCAACAGTTAGCCGTTAGCTTCGGCTATTAGCCGTTAGCTTCAGCTCAGCGCTTCCTTGTTTGTTCCTCCGTCGGGGCTGCTGCAGCTGCTCTGCGATCCAGGCTGCTGCCTCACTTATGTCCCATCACGCTGGCTCCGCCGCTCCGGGGCCCGGGGGGCCAGCTCCACGGACCCGCGCGGGGGTGGAAGCGTCTCAGTTCGGGGATCGCTCGGTGTGGATGGGATGAAGGGCGCAGCGCCGCTGAGGAGCTGGCTGAGTCGTGCCCATTCACTCCCCTCTCTCTCTCTGTTTCTCCGCAGTGAGTCCTCCCCGCTCTGCTCCTCTTCCTCCTGCGAGACTTTAGCAAACACAAAAAACACGCTAACGCCTCGCGCTCACCAGGAACTGCCTTCCCTATCCCAGAGTAACCATCCGCCAAACAAATAGTCCTCGCGCATTAACATGAATCAGATAAAGCGCGGCGCGCGGCTTTTGTTCTCATGACTATTGTGTGGGGCGCGTGCTGCTCGGTGCGCGTCGCGCGTGCTTTAGATCGTCGCAGTTGTCAGCTAGCTTGCCACCTGTGCGACATTCTCTAAATCCCGCATTGATTACGTCACGCGGGTGGCAGCAGAACCCGCGCGCCGCTTCACTCTTGGAGCGTAACGACAAAAATAATGAAATAAATGCGGGAATAAAATGTAGTAAATAAAATCTGGGCAGGAGCTCTGCGCGCATCCCACCTTTACGTGATGACGTCACATTTGAAGTCGATTTTGGGACATTTAAAAATTCTTAAATCATTGGCACTTTAATCCAAGCAAACTGCATCTCAGTTCCTTAAGTCATTTCAGTCTGGAATAAAACCTTCTCTCTACCCAATAAATGTTTCATAGTAAATAAGGTTAAAGAGGTTTATTTTTTTTATTTCACCGCTGTTACCCAGTAAAGTCATTTTTGATTAAATATAAAAGAGCAAAAAATAACTTTCTGACCATTTCTTCTTATGTAATCTTTTACTACCGTTGGCCAAGTTTTATAAATGTAAAACCATTATGATTTAAACCATCATGTATTTTATTTTTTTAAAGGAAGTAAAAACTTATTTTTCCACATTGTCCTCCTCCAATAACAAAAAGGCTGTTAAACCTTTATGCTGTAAATTCAAAGTATGTATTTAACCCCCTTGCATGCTTCTATGCGTAGCTTTACTTAATCAGTATCACTATTTTTACTTTTATTCAGTTATTTTTTATTTATTATTATTATTTTTGTTCAAAACCCTGGCGATTATTCACTGGAAACTCATTTTGTTTTGTATTTTAAAGAACTTTCTAATAAATTTTATTAAAAAAAAATTAAAACCCTTAAAACGGTTTGCATAAAAAATGTATTTGACAATAATAAAATAAGGACAAAACATCTGGAAATGTATGAATAATGTAATGTTTAACGTTATATACAAGTAAATAAAAAACACAACAATCCACTACACTAATTTAACTGAATTAAAATGATCATATAAAACTGATAATTATTGTCATTGATTTTATTCCACACTAATTAAAAAAATTACTTCCATAATGAACTGTTATTGGGTCGCTCTGCTGATACTCTGATGAAACTTTGGTATTAACCTTTCAAAGGTCAACATAAAGCCAAATAAATGCAAAGTAGAGCTAATAAAATAACATAGATTGCAATACGATGAGTTGTACAATTAATCTACACCTTATATAGTCAACGTATGTTTTCTTCTGATTAACTCTGAAGTGGAATTTTCATCTGAGAATGGAAAAAAAACCTCAAATTAACAAAGATTGATCAGCAGGATTCACTATTTGTCACACTTGGTCGCCAGACCTAATGCTGTTATACGATGAAATATATTTTTTTTCAAAATGTTAAGTGCTAAAAGAAGATGTTTGCAAAAATTGGTTCTACATATATTTGTGTTTACTAATACAGAAACAATCAGGGATGCAAAAATAATCATATTTCAAATGCATGGAAACCATATTGTATAAGAAGGTTGTGGTTGGTAAGGAAACTTGGAGTTTGATAATCTGTTCATTTCATTCGTCTTGGAAATATTATCTGAGTTTGCGTTTTTAAAGGAGCGCGATATAACCACAAGAAAATATTAAATAATTTATCTCCTTTTACCCTCGATTCTTATGAAAATGGGAAGGACATGTTTAGATAAAGCCTCTAATAATGATGACAAAACCTATCAAAATCCCTAAATGAATAATTTGTCGTTTAATTATGGCCAAAGTGCGGCTCTCCTCCGCCTCAGAAAACTTTTCCACCTGATGTTTTACCTTACCAATATGGCGGCCGAGCTGACGCGTCACATCAGCGTTGATGGCTCCTCCCTACCCGGCCTCTGCGCAGCTAACAGGCTAAGCTGGCTCGACTTGCAGCTTCTCTCTGCTTGCTTAGTTAGTTTGAGGCGCACCGGCTCCATCCTCACCACGGTGCTGTTCACACCGACCTGACTGAAGGTTCACGCCCGACACAGGGACACCGAGTTCGGACATCAGCTTACAAACAGTTGAAGATGATTAAGCTCTTCTCCCTGAAGCAGCAGAAGAAAGACGAGGAATCTGCTGGAGGAAACAGAGCCGGAGCCGGGGGGAAGAAAGCCAGCGCGGCCCAGCTCCGAATACAGAAAGGTGGGTCAGCTCCCCCCCAGGGAGGCCCCTGCTGAGCCGCTTCATAGCGGCCTCTCCTCCCCGGTCACCTAACAGCAAACACGGGATGAAAGCAGCAGCTCTAAGGGGGAGATCAGTGATTCCAGGCCGGCTGTTGTTACCCAACCAGGCTAACCGTTAGCTTAACCACAACCCGGAGCTAACAGCGGCTAGCTCCTTCTGCCATAGTGGAAAAACAAACTGAGACGGAGCTAAAATGTTAATATTCAGTCACAAGTGTGATTAAAACCAGTTAACCAGCTACAACCAGAGCTCTTAACAAGTTAACCCTCTTTATTCAGATGTTTTAACTAGTTAACCAACTATAATCACATGATTTAACCAGTTTACCTGCTCTACTCACTGTTTTTAACAGTAATCATATAAAATCAGAGGCTAAAACTGTTAGCCTGCTGTAATCAGATTCTTTAACCAGATAACCTGCTATAATCAGAGGGTTTAACTAGTTAACCTACTGTAATCAGATGGTTTAAGTAGCTAACCTATTATATTCAGAGGTTTAAGTAGCTAACCTGTTATATTCAGAGGGTTTAACTAGTTAACCTACTGTAATCAGATGGTTTAAGTAGCTAACCTGTTATATTCAGAGGTTTAAGTAGCTAACCTGTTATATTCAGAGGGTTTAACTAGTTAACCTACTGTAATCATAGGGTTTAAGTAGCTAACGTGTTATATTCAGAGGGTTTAACTAGTTAACCTACTGTAATCAGAGGGTTTAACTAGCTAACCTGTTATATTCAGAGGGTTTAACTAGTTAACCTACTGTAATCAGAGGGTTTAAGTAGTTAACCTGTTATATTCAGAGGGTTAACCTACTGTAATCAGAGGGTTTAAGTAGTTAACCTGTTATATTCAGAGGGTTTAACTAGTTAACCTGCTGTAATCAGAGGGTTTAAGTAGTTAACCTGTTATATTCAGAGGGTTTAACTAGTTAACCTGCTGTAATCAGAGGGTTTAACTAGTTAACCTGCTGTAATCAGAGGGTTTAAGTAGTTAACCTGTTATATTCAGAGGGTTTAAGTAGTTAACCTGTTATATTTAAAGGGTTTAACTAGTTCACCTACTGTAATCAGAGGGCTTAACTAGTTAACCTGCTGTAATCAGAGGGTTTAAGTAGCTAACCTGTTATATTCAGAGGGTTTAACTAGTTAATCTACTGTAATCAGAAGGTTTACGTAGTTAACCTGTTATATTCAGAGGGTCTAACTAGTTAACCTGTTATATTTAAAGGGTTTAACTAGTTAACCTACTGTAATCAGAGGGCTTAACTAGTTAACCTCTTATATTCAGAGGGCTAAACTGGGTAACCTGCTGTAATCAGATGGTTTAAGTAGCTAACCTGTTATATTCAAAGGGTTTAACTAGTTAACCTGTTATATTCAGAGGGTTTAGCTGGTTAACCTATTGTAGTCACAGGGTTTAACTAGTTAACCTGCTGTAATCTGTAGAGTTCAAAGCTGAAATTGTCGAAGTTTTTGGGTTCAGTTGAATTTTCCGGAAGTGGTTCCTGAAAACATCTCAGCTGATGCAGACCTTCCACGCCTCCTTTAACACCTTTAACCAATGCTGTTACCATGGTGATCTCTGTGTTGCTAACCTCTCTGTGGTCCGTTGATGATGATGATGATGTGTTTTTCTGGCAGACATCAATGAGTTAAACTTGCCAAAGACGTGTGAAATCAGCTTCCCAGATGACGACGACCTCCTCAACTTTAGACTCATCATCTCACCAGACGAGGTGAGCTGAGTTCAGGAAGCCCCCACCTGCAGATTCTCAGTTACATTTAGGAAACTTTAAAAAAGAGCTAAAGTGTTTTGGTGTTTTTTTACAGTTTGAATCCCTCAGTTTGAATTTTTTGGTGAATCTGTTGTTTATTCAGTGAACCCAGAACTGAACTTACTGGATAAGAAGAAAGAGATCATAAATCAAACTGACTTATTTCAAATGTAGTTTGTATAAAAACAGAAAGTTTGTTTTTACCACCAAAGTTTTCATGGTTTATATTTCAGCTCTATATATTTAAACATTAGTTGTTGTTTTTTTTTTTTCAAATGTATTAAAGTTTTCGATGTTTTATACTCTGAGATAACATCAACAAAAACAAACAATAAGAAATAAAAGTCAGTAAATAAAAAGATAAAAAAAAAAAAAAGAAATGTTCTAAATTACCCATGAGCCTTTGCTCAGAAACCGGCAGAGAGCAGAGAGGAGTCGTCCGGTGAAGAGCTGATCAGCACACCTGAGTGAGCTCAGGTGTGCTGATCAGCTCTCTCTGCAGAATCTACATCTACCGTCTCTACCTGCTCATCCTGCAAAGCATCCGCTGGTTTCTCTTACAAACTCTCAACATTTAATCTGACTGGAGGATCTGGTTGATCTGGATCTATGAAGAGACAACATGATGCAAATCGGCGCATAGAGATAAACCGATTAGATTCTCAGGGCTGTGGGGTGAATTGTTTTTTCTCTGATCAGCAGCTGCAAACGTTTTTTCTCATTGATTCTTGGGAAACATTTTCCAGCGTTTCAATGACTAGAGGAGACGATCAAACTAAAAGCTAGTTTATTTTTAAACATTAATATCCCACTCGTATTTTTAATATGAAAGTTAATAAAGATGAATGGGGAAAAGTCTGAGTTTAGATTTAGAACCTGAATCTCTGAGCTCAGATTAAAGGCTTTTGTCTCTTTCAGGGTTTTTACAAAGGAGGAAAGTTCGTCTTCAGCTTTAAGGTAAATAAAGCTCTTTGAATCGTCTGTATGCTGAATAAACCTGCTTTTACCTAAATAAGATCTAAAAAAATAATGTTAAAGTTTTTATTTTCTGGGCTTCATTCCAGAAAGTGAAGCTTTTTTTGATCAAGGTCTTTTTATTTTCTTTTTTTTCTTTATATACACCACACATACACATACACATCAGAAAAACAAAACAAGAAGGAAAAAAGAAAGAAAGAAAAAAAAAAAAAAAGACGAAATATATACAACAACAAAAAACCCTCCCAACCCACCCCTCCTATACCAGATCTACTACCCCAACAAGAGTACACCTTTTAATCATACATCAACCGAAACAGAACACAGGTTTGCACACACAGAACCAATATTTGACCTTTACACAAAGTTATCTGCCGACATATTCCCAACATAAGATATAAATGGCTGCCAAATGTCAAAGAATTTGTTTACAGATCCCCTAACAGTATATCTGATCTTCTCCAAATGAATGTAAGACATAACTTCTCTTAACCAATGTCCATAACTTGGAGGATGTGGATCCTTCCATCGAAGAAGAATGAGTCTTCTCGCCAGTAGAGAGCAGAATGCTAACACAGTCCTCTGATGTTTGCTGAAGGAGGTCTCTGCTGGAGCCACCCCAAAGAGAGAGATGAGAGGTGATGGACAGACAGTTTGTCCAAATATTCCTGAAAAAGTGTCAAAAATGCCTTGCCAATATCTGTGTAACTTTGGACAAGACCAGAATGTGTGTAAAAGTGTGGCTGGAGATTGTTTACAACGGTCACACGTCGGATCTAAGTCCCTTTTGAATTTGCACAATCTGTCCTTGGACCAGTGTAAACGATGTACTACCTTGAATTGAACTATAACATGTTTCAGACAAATTGAGGACAAATAGATATTTTGAATAATTTTTTGCCAAACTGTATCTGATATGGACTCCTCCAAGTCCGTCTCCCACTTGACCCTCAAGGAATCTAAATTGGTATCATTAAATGAGCTGAGCAGAGAATAGACTCTACTCATAGAGCGTCTTGTTACAGACTTGCACATCAAAACCTCATCAATAAGAGAAGTTGGTGGATGTAGAGGAAAACATCCAGAGTTTGACATTACAAAATGTCTCAATTGTAAATACCTGAAAAACTGTGACTTGTGAATGTCAAATTTCTGTGTGAGCTGTTCGAATGAGGCAAACTTATTGTCTATATAAAGATCATTTAAAGAAGCTATTCCCTTTAAACTCCAGGCATAAAAAACAGAATCCATTAGTGAAGGAGCAAACATGTGATTGTTTGATACTGGAGCGGATATTAATAAATCCGTACTTTTAAACATCCTCCTGCACTGATTCCAGATTTTTATTGTGTGAGTTATAACCGGATTAGAAGTATAAGTTGAGATTGGTTGATTAAATGGTAACCGGGAGCAGAGTAAAGCAGATAGAGAGCTAGCCGTAACTGAATGCCTCTCTAAAGTCACCCAAGTGGGAGCAGGGTTGTCCTCTCTCAACCAGTACAGTAAGGCTCTAATATTAGCCGCCCAGTAATAATATAGAAAATTAGGGAGTGACAGGCCACCAAGACCATGGGGTAGCTGTAGCATCTTACAGCCTATCCGCGGGTGCTTCTTATTCCAAATAAATGACGACAACTCACTATTTAAATTTGTAAAAAATGTCTTGGTGAGAAACACTGGCACGCTCTGAAATAGATAAAGTAATTTAGGAAGTATTACCATTTTGATTATATTGATTCTACCTCCCAAGGATAGAGGCAGAGATGCCCATGTAGAGATGTCTTTCCTAAGGTTCACCAGGAGAGGCAGATAATTTGCTGTATAAAGATCTTTGTGACTGTGAGTAATCCAAATACCAAGGTATTTAAATTTAGCAGGGCTAATTTTGAAAGGGACTGGACCCATATGCTGCACTTCCATTGGAGTCACAGGCATCAATTCACTTTTTTGAAGGTTAACCTTATAGCCAGAAATGTTTCCAAACTTTTGGAGTAAAATAAGTAACTCAGGAATACTGGATAAGGGATCTGAGATATAAAGAAGTGTATCATCAGCATATAGGGAGACTTTATGTTCAGTGCCAAACCGATTAATACCTTTAATTTTGGGGCTGTTTCGCAAAGCCACTGCAAGTGGTTCAATTGCAATTGCAAATAAAAGTGGCGAAAGTGGGCATCCCTGCCTCGTCCCACGTTTCAACTCAAAGTAACTGGATAGATTACTGTTAGTGCGTACTGCTGCCATTGGCAAGGTATATATCAACTTCACCCATGAAATAAATTTAGGCCCGAAGTTAAACATCACCAAGGTCTTAAATAGATAGTCCCATTCCACCCGGTCAAACGCTTTCTCAGCGTCCAGCGAGATTAAAATTTCATTACAATTGTGACCGGGCGGGGCGGAAGTATACAACACATTAAATAGCCGCCTGATATTAAAAAAGGATTGACGATTTTTAATAAAACCAGTCTGGTCAGGTGAAACAATTGTAGGGATAATCTGTTCAACTCGTTTTGCCAACATCTTTGTAAGAATTTTAACATCAGTGTTTAATAACGATATTGGGCGGTATGAACTGCAACTCAAGGAAAGAAAGTGAAGCTTATATGGGTTCTTTGATGATTTTTCTGTGAGTCTTTGTGAACGGAGGGTGGAGCAGCTGCAGCTCCTGAAGGAGCCGATGTCTAACAGAGTCTCTGTGTTCCAGGTAGGACAGGGTTACCCCCACGACCCCCCAAAGGTAAAGTGTGAGACCATGGTCTATCACCCCAACATCGACCTGGAGGGAAACGTCTGCCTAAACATTCTACGGTGAGTCCCCAGCTTCAGCTTTTTTTCAATCTGAACAGGTTTCCGCAGGTCATTAATCATAGAAAGTCATTAAATTATTTTTTAAATAAGCATTAAAATTCATTAAATGTGATTATTGAATAAAGCATATAAAATGCTTTATTTAAAAAAAAGTTAATAAAAGCAATTTGATCGTATATATCCGATATAACTGGTTCTGTGTGTTTGCGCAGCTCTGCTTCCGATTGATCGTAAAGTTCTATGTTAGGAAAAGAAGCTCAAAATGCTAATTTCGACAAAATCAAGGGATTCAGGACATGGCTGCAGCCTGTCGACAGAACAGATGACAAAGGATTTTGCAGTGTTTTATTTATTTATATATATATATATATATAAGGGATGCACGATATTGGGATTTTTGGGCGATATCCGATATTTTAAACCTCATGTAGCCGATAACCGATATCGATACCGATGTTAAAGCTGGACAAAAATAAGTAGTCATTGAAAATAGCAGTTTTGTTATCCATTTCTGACACTTTGCAAAATAATATACTCAAATATATTTTCATATGCTGATATCAAATAGATTTTTAAAAACGCGGTATCAATCTATTTTACTTTCAAAATCTCGTGAAATTTCATCGTTCTGTTACAAACTCTCGTGATATTTTGCAAATTCTTGTGAGATTTTGTTAGTAAAATAGATCGATACCGCGTCAATATATCAACATATAAAAATATGGCAACATTTGGTGAATTTTCAGGGGATTTCGTAGCATAACGATGACATATAGCAATATTTCATTAGTAAAAGAGATTGATATGGTGTTTTTAAATGGCAATATATCAGCAGATGAAGATATTGGGATATTTTAATGTATCAATATTTTTTCCCTCGTCTTTAGAAGTTTTTAAGTCTGTAAAAAAAGAAGTTTTTGAGGAAGAAGAAGAAGTAGAATTTTTTATTTTTTTTTTTAGACTTTAGAAACTCAGAAGCTGATCAAATATCGGGTTAAATATCGGTGGGGTGGCCGATGTCCGATATTCAGTTTTGAGGCCGATACCGATAGGGGGCCGATTATATCCTGCATCTCTAATAAATAAATATATATATATATATATATGAGAGAGTCATGGGTACTTGTTGATGGCATTAAATTTATTTCTAAGAGCATTAAAAGGCATTAAATTTGAGTCCCTCATTCCTGTAGAAACCCTGTTTTCCCAACAGAATCACAGATGAGTTTCATAAATGTGAAAATAATGTAAATAAAATGTTTTGATATACAGTGATTATTATTTTAATCAGAGAATGATCCAGAAATCTATAAATATTAGAAAAGGATGCAAACCCCCACCATTAGTATCGCCACCATGACAGATGATCCATATTTTCCTTATTTGTCAAACCGTTTCCAAAGTATAACTTCACATTGTGACGGTTTTACAAGGTTCATTATTTAACTTTTAGTTATTTTAAGTGGGTTTATGTCACTATTTTAGGTCTTCCAGTCAGATCTCCCTCCTGACAGGTAGGATAAATATATATATATATATATATATATATATATATATATATATATATATATATATATATATATATTTTAAACCAGTCACACAAGGACCGTACACTTCAGGGTGTTCACCCTTACAAATAATGAACAACAAATTTTCACTAATAGACCAACAAAAACATTAGGCATCATAGTTCTTGTGTTTCAGTACCTGCGTTTAAAATATTGTCAGAAAGTTATATTTGGTTCGTTTCTTTTTGCATTTATTTAAAGCAGTTTTTCTTTTCCTGAAGTATTTCTAAACTCTTCTGTATCAAAGCTTTGCTCCAGATGTGGCTGGTTTTAACAAACCGCTGCAGAGAAACAGGAGAAGTGGCTGAAAAAGAAGAATCTCTGCTTCTAATCTAGATCATCTCTATATAGAACAGATGCTTGGGTCTCAGTTATGTTCTGCTCTTCATGCGTCTGAGCAGAGGTTCCCGTCTAACTAACTGTCTCTTGGCTCTCGTCCACAGAGAGGACTGGAAGCCCGTTCTGACAATAAACTCCATCATCTACGGTCTACAGTATCTATTTCTAGTAAGTCTATGTTGTCTGTCTTTAAACCTGCAGACCCAGAGAGGCTCCAGTCTGGGTCACACTGCCTGCTTCCTCTCTAACCCGTCCACGGGACCGGCCCAGTCTGGTTCATTATTGTAATCAGACTGAAACCTGTCCATCTGTCCTGCTGGACGATCTAATCCATGTCCCCCCTCCTCCCCCCCCAGGAGCCAAACCCAGAGGACCCGTTGAACAAGGAGGCAGCAGAGGTCCTGCAGACGAACCGGCGGCTCTTCGAGCAGAACGTCCACCGCTCTCTGAGGGGCGGCTACGTCGGCGCCACCTACTTTGAGAGATGTCTGAAGTAGCGGGTCGTCCCCCCGTCCTCCAGGCTCCTCCCACATCTCCCCCCTCCGCCTCACCTCTCCTCCTCCCCCCTCCAGCTCCTCTTGGATTTCGCTCGTCGACTGAAGCGGGAGCCGCAGCGACGGAAAGCAGCACGGCGCCGCATGCTTTACCGTTTTAACGCAACAGAAGAAGCTCCGCCTCTCCTCTCATCCTCACCCCTCTCTCTCCTCCTCCTGCATTTCTCTCTCACTTCTCACTTCAGCCATTTGCACGCCAATGGGGGGGGGGGACGCCGACCAACAGCTCATCTGACCGGACTCTGCTGATGAGGAGGAGGAGGAGGATGAAGATGGAGGACTATGGATGGACAGGTGTTTGTGGATGTTGCCCTGGTCAACGTCACAGCGCTGATGATGATGATGATGATGCTCACCAGATTGTTTTCCTGTTTTTATTATGATGCGTGTGGCGAAGCGCTGACATCACACGGCTGATCAGAAGGACCCGCCCCTCCCTGTCACCGCCTTCATTCATTGGTTACAGATCAGAGCAGAAGCAGCAAACTCCAAACAGCAGCCCTACGGTGGGGCGGGGCTTCCCACCGGATCGGACCGGTTCTATTGGACGACCCGTCCAGAACCGTGTCAGCGAGGTTCCGAAGGGGCGGGGGCCAAGAACCCAGCAGCTGTTTTTGCACAAAGTTTAAAGGAACGGCGATTTTCTTAGCGTTTCTGCAGAAAGTGGGCGGAGCCTTTCCCTTTTAACCTGTGGAAGGTTAAAAGGGAACTTCTGCGGGAAGTCTAAGGGGCGGGGGGGCGGCGGTTCAAACATGGAGCCGACGCCCCTACATTTATTTTCTAAAATATTTTTAGTTTTTAAGCTTGAAGACCTCACAGCGCCCCCTACAGGACAGCAGAGGGAGGCTGCTATCGGCGCAAAGCCTGGGGGGCTGTTTTAGGAGGGGTGGGGGGGTAGAGGAGTGGGGCTGTTATGGTGGGAGGGCGGGGCTCATTGGAGGAAACATGCCTTAAAATATGGAGCTGTTCATCAGTGTGGGCGGGGCTTAATCCTTCAGGTCGTCTGTTTGGAGTTTGCTGCCGAATCAGTCCCATTAAAAACGCTGGAGGGCGGGGCATAAAATGATGTGGGTGGGGTCATAGCTTAATGGGGGGGGGGGGTTATCAATGGGCGGGGTTTGTGTGGGTGGGTGGGGTTTTTGATTTTCATTTTAGGGTGTGGTCAGGGGGGAGGGGCTTAAAATGTTATGATTCTATTGTGTATATGGAAACCCCAGCTGTTCACTTTGACTGCAATATGATTTATGTTAAATAAAATATGAAATTGAACAACGCAGTGATGTCAGTTCTCACCCGCCGGGCGTGAGTCTCGCCCGCCAAGCGTGAGGTTCACCCATACGGGTGAGACTCGCCCATCTCAGTCTCTTCACACGCTCTCACTCCATAGCCACATATTTTCATACTAAAAAAAATGACGGAAATTAAATCTCGACTCCATTCCACTTATTTATAACTAAAAACCCTATGCTGAAAAAAATCGACATGCCGCGTTAATTCCAGTCCATGTTTTTGCTCCAGCCCACCTATTATCTGCACCAGATACTGGAAAAAGGCCTGGATTTCTGAGCAGTTATGAGGTATATTATTAGAAATGTTATCTTATCTGGAATAAGATGATTGAGTTTGTAAATTAAGATTTTAAGCAATCTAGCACTTGAGTAAATCCGAACAAAACACACAACAGCTAGATTAAGTTATCAATGTGGAGACTGAGTGTAGAATCACATCAAATGCTTTGTTTTCTCTATACCTAGTGAGCTTTTTTTTTATTATGGATGTAATTTCAGGAGGCGGGGGGGGGACATGTCCCCTGCACGTTTTCAAACATCTATTTTGCCCCCACCCCCCCAGCATTTTTTACTGTCCAAAAACAACGTTACGCTCCTGTACACCGACATTCGTCGAGCACTAGGACCAAGCGGAAAACCGCAGCACAAAATAGTTTAGTCCATGTTTTGTTTACAAGTTAGATAATTATTTCCCAGTCTAGTTGAATAATCTCCCGTTGGATTTTAGGATTAAATAAAGCAACAGAAATATCTAAATTCTTGTGTGTCATATACAGAACCATTGCATTTTATTTTTCCAAAGATCAGCCTTCTACACACAGAGAGGAGGTGCAGAACAGCTCAGTGATCCTGGATTCAGAGGAGACAGGGATGTTCTTATTTTATTATTATTCATTTATCCTTATTATGGTCCAATAAATATGTTTGAAAACTTAATTTCTATCACATTTTCCAAATTAATCATCCAGAGAAGTTCTGTCTCCTGTCATGGAGAGTTTTTATAGAATCTACAGCCTCCTAGAACATCTGACTTATTTAGCTTTTTGATCAATTGTAAAAAAAAAAAAAAAAAATCTAATAACATGAATTAATTAAAATTTTGGCAGCCCCGACGACGAGAACTGATTTGATCTTCGTTAACGTTTTTGATCTTCCTGGTTTTAATAACCGGCTAGAAACATTAAAATATCTTTTCACTAAAGTCACTTCTTTGCTCATTAAGTGGATTTTGAATATTTGTTTCTCCAATTCTATTCAGTTTATTTCTATAGCTCCAATTCACATCATGTCATCTCAGGTTACATTCCAGTTCACCAGATCATCCAGTCAGATTGATACAAAGTTTTCTATCTAAGGAAAACCAGCTGATTGCATCGACTCATTGACTCTTCAGCAATCCCTCACACTAAGCATGCTTGTAGGGACAGTGGAGAGGAAAAACTCCCTTTGAACAGGAAGAAACCTCCAGCAGAACCAGGCTCAGTGTGAGCGGCCATCTGCTGAGGCCCACTGGGGTTCAAGGAGACAGAAGCAGACATAGAAAAAGAAGCTGTAAAATAATTTGTTCCAATCCATTTTTTGATTGTTTTCCATCATATTTTTAACCCAAAACTGCGCAGCAGCTTTCCCTTTGGCTGCGCTGTTAGCAGTTTGTGTTCTCGCTCTGGGGTTCAGTTCAAGAAGCAGGTTTAACAAACTTAAGACTTAAATCCTCAAATGAATTGATGTATCCTGAAACCACGTGGTTTTCAGTTTATTAAAGTTGCTATGAGTTAATTTTATTAACTTTATGTCCACTTAGAGTAAATCATATTTAAATGTCAAATCATTCTGGCTTAAACAAGTATATAAGTGTACTTTTTATCAGATCATATTGTCCCAAAACTTAGGATTTTAATACGATAGAAATTTTCAACATTTTCTGTCTCAAAATCTGTGTTTTTTCTCATTATCTTCTGCAGGCCAGTTAGTTCTACGTCAGCCTGAACACCTAAATTCAGCCAATCATATATCAACGGTCATCTGTCAATCAAATGTTTTCGGTCATAGCATCTTGATTCATGTGTCACAGCTAATATATGCAATGGTTGAAACCAGAATCCTTTCCTTTCCCATTGAGTTGCGTCCCAGTGTTCACGGGGATGGACGTCTGTGTCTTCGGCAGGCGTAGAGCTAACAGAACTGGCAGCGTTGCGAGGCAAGGGCTCAAACATGTACGGCTGGAAGCCTTCTACACCAAACCAAGCTTCTGCCGCCCTGGCGTCCTCTTCCACAACATCTTCGTCCCCGCTTTCCTCCTCTAAATAAAAAATGGATGATGGAGGAGACTCATCCACGACCTCCGACACTAAACTCTCCTCCTCTTGCATGTTTCTGCTGTCCATTGGTTCCTTGACAGCTTCGTTTCTAAGTCACCAATTTAGTGCTACTTGGTCCCAATGGAATTTCCCATTGGGAACCTGCTAGCACTCAGTTGCTAACTGGTTAGCAAGATGCTTCCCACAAACCGTCTACAACCAAATATGCTTGCGAACCTCCCACCACAACAATCCCCCTCTATCTGTTGTTCCATTTATAGGTCAGTAAAATAAGATTCTTTCTGATCAAAATCACAATCCTATAAGGAATTGTTATAACACATTTTCTAAATTACATTTTTAATTAAAAAAAAGTTAAGGGGCTTGCTCTGTGAAGCACATTACATTTTATATATCTAGAAATGTTTACCCACTTTCATTGGCTGTTCTTACATTTATCAGCTTGAAAGAAATGTATTTAATATATCTGAAAAACATTTCTTCATATTCAAAATAATATAAACGCTGACCTGTAATATTAGGAATATAGAGATCTGAAATTAATTTCTAGACATCCAGAATGAAAAATGTCATTTTGTTTGAAATGGTCATTTCAACAAAGAAGAAATATTTTTCAGATATCAGAAAAACATATTTAGTCAAACTAATAAATATCAAATCGGCTTGCCATAGGTGTTGTGACCATGATAACATTCCGGGTTTATGTCTTGAATGATGGTGGATGGATGTATCTATTTAGGTCAAATCATCTGGCAGCAGAATAAAAGCATTGCTCTAATAGATGGGAGCTGTTCATCACCTCATGGGTTACTCCTCATGTTGATTCTTTTTTTACACAGTAAATACTAAATTTGTTTGCAGCCGTGCTTCAAACGTTATCATCCCCATAGAACGGCTTCAGATTGTGACAGTAGGCGCAATCATTTAGTAATCTGGATTCTTCAACCTTCTGCTAAAGATCCTTCAGATTGTTGCTCAAATCATAAAATCCATGTCACCGGAACCTTCTTCCTGTTGCACGTCTCTACCACCCATCTGAAGGAGGCAAAGGTCTTTCTTCATGGTGATTCAGCCGAACGCATCCTGGACAGAATCTTTCTGTGGTGAACCACCCGGACAGAACAATTAAAGCTCTGAGAACCGTTGCATCATCACAGTGAGACGCGTTTGGCGTCCAGGTCTGCTGCAGGGAAAACTGCTTGCAGTTCATCCCTGAGCTTCATTTCCTTTGGTTAGTCTGTTTTCTAAATCAGCTCTTAACGCAAAAATGGTTCATTCCTTTATTCAGGCAGAGTTAGGAAATATGACTAAACTAAAACCTCAGATTACCTCTGGAGTATTTTATGGTTTCTAAAAGAAATATTTACAACATTTCCAGTTTTTTTTCATATTTTATTAATTCAGTAGTAAAATGTCCAACTTTCCCACTCAGATAAAATTCTAACAAGCATTTCTGATTTTAGCCAATCTATAAACTAAATCTCTATGTAATAACTTGGTATCAGTGGCTTAGTTTGGGTGGATCAGCAGTCCTCGGTGGGTTCCTGATGTAGAACTAAAGGCGGCTCTGGTTCTGCGGATCTTCGTGGTGGTTGAAGAGATGATCCTCGCTGCTTTTTCACGTCTCCTTCGCTTTAAATTCATTATAATTTCGTTATTTTTTGTGTAAACCAGTTTCATGGAAGTGATCCGATCCAGGAAGTACTTCTCTTTACATCATCATCATTGTGGTAAAAGGAGGCGATGGCTCCCCTGCAGCATGGAACCGTGGATCCTGTGGCTCATCTGTGGCGTCCCTGACGGTTAGCTTCCATGTTCTGCAGGAGAACCACATCGCCTCCTTTCTCCTCCCAAAAGTCTGGGTTTGAGCCGATTCTAGTCCGGGACCTGGTGCCGGTGGTTCCCGTCAGGCGGGTAGCTACTGGGTGGTGGCCAGG